TCGGACGTGTGCAGTTCTCCTTCGGCGAGGACCATCGAGGAGCGTCCTTGATCATTTGGCGAAAAAGCCACGCACGAAACCGACAAACAGCACAGGGAATGGACGTCCGAGCGATGGCCAGTATGCCTATTCAGGATGCAAGGCCAGTCCCGGGGAATGGGCCGAGACATCTGGGACTCTGGGATTCGGCGTTGTAACAAAATCCTTCACGTCTGGGGGTCTGGGACTCGCCGGCCTCCCCTCCTTGACATTCGCCGATTTGGTGTTTGCTTCAATCCGCGGCCCCAGAGGTCCCGACCGCTTCCCCAGGGCCAGTGTTTTCGCCTCGGGTCCGTTTCTGGCGGGCCGGACCGGAGGCAGCCCCGAAGGCCGAGATGTAGGAAAAACGTTGTTTGAACAAAAAACATGTCGTCAGAGATCTGGGCTTCACTGACCACTCCGCTAGACCACCGACGTCATGATTTTCTCACGACGTGGGCACCTAGAGGTCTGGACCCCATTCCAGATACCAGTTTTTCATCCTAAGTAGTTTTTTACGGTCCTCGAGCCTGGTAAGCCCTCAGGTCCGACGTTGCGAAAAAATGAAACACCGCGAAAATTCACAACTGGAGTTCTAGACTCCATCTTTCTGCGGCACGTTCCGAGCCGCATCAATCTGGGATGGTCCTGGGGCCCGAAAACACACACACACACAGCCGCCCGTTGTGGAAAAAATGCGACGCCAGGATCTCAGGGGGGGGCCCAGAAGAAGCGAGTTGCCAGAATCCTCCCGTCGTGATTTTTGTCACGACGCGCCCCCGAGCCTCCTCCTCCTCCTCCTCCTCCTCCTCCTCCTCCTCCTCCCCCTCCTCCTCCTCCTCCTCCTCCTCCTCCTGCTCCTCCTCCTCCCCCTCCCCCTCCCCCTCCTCCTCATCCTCCCCCTCCTCCTCCTCCTCCTCTCCTCCCCCTCCTCCTCCTCCTCCTCCTCCTCCTCCCTCCTGCCCGCCCCTCTCCTCCTCCTCCTCCTCACATCCTCCTCCTCCTCCTCCTCCTCCTCTCCTACCTCTCCTCCTCCTCCTCCTCCTCCTCCTCCTCCCCCTCCTCCTCCTCCTGCCCCTCCGGCCCCTTCCCCTCGCGGGGAGGGGGAGAGGCGGGTGCCACCTGAGCGGGGTCGTCTGCACGGACTTTGGCGTGCGAGCTGCCCGCGCCCAGGCCGCGCGTGAGCGCTCGCCTCCAACGTGGCGTGCCGCGCCGGCGCCCCGCGCAGGCCACCGCGCACGGCCGCCACGGCTCCTCGCGTCAGCCCCGCGCCTTCTCGTCGCTCACCTCGGCGCGTGCTTTGGTCAAACTCTCCTTCCTTCCTCTTCGTCGCTCGCCCCGTTCCTCTTCCGCGCTCCCCTCGTCGCCAGCCCCGTTCCCCTTCGTCGCTCACCTCGCCGCGTGCCTGGTCAAACTCTCCTTCGTTCCTCCTCGCCGCTCACCTCGTTCCCTTTCGCGCTCCCCTCGTCGCCAGCCCCGCTCCTCCTCGTCGCTCGCCTCGGTGCGTTCCTCTTCTGGCCCGGCGCGCGCCTGGGCAGACTCTTTCGTTCCTTCTCCTCGCTCGCCTCGCTCCTTTCCGCGCTCACCTCGTCGCCAGCCCCGTTCCTCTTCGTCGCTCGCCTCGGTGCGTTCCTCCTCTGGTCCGGCGCGTGCCTGGGCCCTCGGGCAGCCCTCGGCCCCCGTGCTCCGTGGGCGCGGCCCCCGCCGTGGCAGCCCGCCGATGATCGACCGAGGATTCGCTGCCGCGGCGGTCGGTCGACGCCGTCGAGGCGGTCGAGCCGAGGGATATCGCCTCCATCGGGAGGCCGAGCGATCGATCGTCGGCCGACGACCCCTCGATCCGCGCCTCTCGGCTGCCCCGATGCGCCCCTCCTTGGAGGCGCAGCACGTGCCGTGTGCAGGGCGGCCGTGTCGGCGCGCCGCGCGTGGGCTCCGCGCGTGGAGCCCACGTCTCGGCGAGCGTGCGGCGCCGGGCGTGCGCTCTCAGCCTGCGTGTGGAGCTCCGTGGCAGCACGCGGCGGGTTGCGCGCTGCGCACCGGGGGCGGCTGAGATCCGTGGCTTGAGGGCGAACTTCGCCGATGAGATTTCCGATACGTGATCCTTATCCTCATCCTCCTCCTCATCATCATCCTCATCCTCCTCCACATCATCCTCATCATCCTCATCAGCATCAGCATCCTCATCAGCAGCAGCATCATCATCATCATCATCATCATCATCATCATCAGCAGCATCCTCATCATCATCATCATCATCATCATCAGCAGCATCATCATCAGCATCATCATCATCCTCATCAGCAGCAGCAGCATCATCATCAGCATCATCATCTTCGCCCCCTCGACCGAGATGCCCCCAAGATCGGTGGCGCGCCAGACGTCGAGGGCGCGGGCGGCCCTCTGAGGAGGGCCCCCCCCGCCCCTCGGCGGGTGCGGGGCGCACGGGCTCCGAGGGGCCGGCCCCTTCCGCGAAGATCCGCGCAAGCTAATCAGCACCATTCAGGAGGGAACAAAAACACACAGACACAATGAATCGTCGACTCCCAGGAAGAGATGGGAAGCTATGGGACGCGGGAGGGGGAGACAGAGACCCAGAGGATGTGGGGAAATATTTGGGGATCCTGTTGTTTGCGTGTGTGTATTTATTTGTGTGTCCCAGGGCCCCTTCAATCACGCCACGAGCTTGTGCACACAGACTCCTTCCGACGATCTGTCGTCGGGTCAAATGCCGATCGATCGATGGAGGCAGCCTTCGATCCCGGACCGAGGCGTCGAGGCCGACAAACATATCGGCAGTTGCGTGCCAGGGCATTTTCTTTTGCGGGGGCTGGGCGCCCTGGCGCGGGCGGCCGAACGACCCCTGCAGCGGGACAGCCCGGCAGCACGGCTGCCGCCGCAAGAGCTGCTCGTTCGACGCTGGTGCCGCGCAAAGGGCGGCGCCGCACAGACTGCGCCGCGCACGGGCTGGGGCAGGGGCGAGGTCGTCGGGTCAACTGCCGGCCGGTCGATGGAGGCAGCCTCCGATGCCGCACCGAGGCGTCGAGGCCGGGCTGGGGCAGGGGCGAGGCGCCGAGTGCCGAGGCATCGAGCGAGCGATCGATGGATCCACCGACGGCCGATCGATCGAGCGGCCGAGGGCCGATCGGCCGCGGGCGCCCCCCGGGAGGAGCGGCGGCGGAGCGCCCTGGAGGCGGAGCGGCGGCGCGCGGGCGAGCGCGAGGCGGCGGAGCGGCGGCTCCGGCAGGCGGAGTTCATCCAGAGGGCGCCCGGGCGGGAGCCCTCGTCCTCCTCTTCGGCCGCCTCCTGGGCCTGCTCGTCCTCCTCCGCCCCCCCCCCCTCCTCCTCGACCTCCTCCTCCTCTGAGATCCTCCTCCTCCTCCTCCTCCTCCTCCTCCTCCTCCTCCTCCTCCTCTGCCTCCTCCCTTGCTTCCTCCTCTTCCTGCTCTCCCCGTTTCTCCCTCCTCCTCCTCCTCCGCCTTCTCCTCCTCCTTCTCCTCCTCCTCCTCCTCATCCTCCTCCTCTTGACTTCACCCCCCTTACGCTCGTCTCCTCGTCCTCCTCCCCCTTCATCCGGAGGGTGCTCGGGCAGTGCCAGGGAGGGGGGTCACCACTCCCGGCTCCCCTGCGTCGTGAAGCAAACACGATGGGGGGTGCTTGCCGGTTTCGGCCTCGGGAGCCGTTTTTGTCAGCCTCGGGGTGCGTTCCTAGCGGCTGCGCCTCGCCGAGAGCGTTCCTTGGGTGCCCCGGGACCTTCACAACATGATTCGGAATGCAGAGATGGTCCTGCGGGCGGGCCCGGGGGGCCAGGGCCCGGTTCCCCCAGGACCATTTCGCAGTCGTGGTAAAGTGCCAGGGCAGGTCACCACTACCAGACCCCCTCGCGCCGTGGAAAGATCACGACGGGAGGCTTTTGCTTCGTCTCGGCCTCTGGAGCGCCTTTTGCGTTCCGGGGCGGTGCCTCGCCGAGAGCTCTCCAGAGGTGCCAGCATCGCCCCCGAACGGCCGCCAGAGAGCCGAGCTGGGACCCGGGAGCTGAGGAGGAGGAAGAAGAGGAGGAGGAGGGGAGGAGGAGGAGGAGGAGGGGGAGGAGGAGGAGGAGGAGGAGGAGGAGGAGGAGGAGGAGGAGGAGGAGGAGGAGGAGGAGGGGAGGGAGGAGGAGGAGGAGGAGGAAGAGGAGAGGGAAGAGGAGGAGGTCGTCACGACGGGAGGTTTTTGGGCGGTTTCCGGCCTCGGGGTGCCCTCGCCGGGCCGCGCGACCGTCGGGAAGCATTTCGGGATGAGAGGCTCGCCCCCCCCTGGGAAGGAGTCGCGACTTCTGGGGGTCGACGTCATGACACTTGTCGAAGGCGCAGGCCTGGGCGATGCTCCTTCTGGGAGTCGAGGCTCCAGGGTCCAAGCTGGACGAGGTCTTCTGGACGTCTGAGGTCGTTTCGGAAGGCCCTGGGGAGTTCCTGGGGGGCCCACCTTCTCGAGGCAACGGCGTTTCCCTCGGCATCGCTCGGGCGTGTGCGCATTCTTCGTCGGCGAGGGCCATCGAGGAGCATCCTGGGCTCAGCAGGCTAGCAGAAACACGCGCGCGAGACCGACACGACAAATGCACGAGGAACTGACGTCCGAGCGATGGCAAGTGCCTCGAGGCGGTGGCGAGCCCCTGGTGGTGGCCCCTCTTGGCACGGCCCCTCCTCCTCCTCCTCCTCCATCTCCTCCTCCTCCTCCTCCTCCTCCTCCTCCTCCTCCTCCTCCCTCCTCCTCCTTTCGCCTCTTCCTCCTCCTCTCCTCCTCCTCCTCCTCCTCCTCTCCCTCTTCGCATTTCATCATGCTCCTCCTCTTCCTCCTCCTCCTCCTCCTCCTCCTCCTCCTTCGCATCTTCATCATGCTCCTCCTCTTCCTCCTCCTCTTCTTCTTCCTTCTCCTCTTCTTCCTTCTCCTCCTCCTCCTCCTCCTCCTCCTAATCCTCCCAGGTGCGGGCGATCCACGACAGGCGCCGGGCGAGTGAGGCCGCGGAGAAGGCCTCGGGGGCAACTCTGGGAGGGGGCAGGCTCCCGAGACCCCCTCGGGTCACGAAGCAATCACGACGGAGGACGCCTTGCCATTTTTTTCAGCCTCTGGGAGCCCTCGCAGGACCTCGGGAGCGTCAAAACACGACTCCGGATGAGAACCTGGTCCCCGGGAGTGGGTCGAGGCCTTTGGGTGTCCACGTCGTGAACACATAATCCCGTCATGGTCCTCTCGCCTTCCGCCCGTCCATCGACCCCCCATCGCTTACTGATCGCCGCGATAATGCGCGGCACATGCCCGCCCCGCCCGAGGAGCGTGGCGGGGTCGCTGGCGAGGGCCCACCGCCGATCCATCGTCATGCAATCCGCCGATTCCCAGGTCGGTGCTGCTTCACCCCTGAGCTGGTCCGCCGTCCCCCATACCCGGACCTTCGGCGTCACGATTTTTTCACAGCGTCGACACCCATAGTCTCGACCCATCCCCGGGACGCGGCTTTTTTAAATCCTGAGCCGTTTTTCACGGCCCCGAGGCATGTTTGAAGGCCCCCCGAGCCAAGAATACGAGAAGCGTTCGGTCGCATTCTCTCCGCATTCCCCCAGACCCGACGTCATGATTTTTTCATGACGCGACCCCAAGAGGTCTGGACCCCTTCCCTGGGACCGGTTTTTCGTTCTGAGTCGTTGTTTGACGGTCCCGAGGCCCGGTAAGGGCCCCTGGAGGCCAAAAATAGCGAAAAACCTCCCGTCGTGTTTTTTTCACAGCGCGAGGGGGTCTGGGTTTCGGGCGTCCAGAGCACCGCTCCCCCTCAAGGCCCAGCAGCGCGTCAGCCTGTCGCGGAGGGGCTCGGCGGGCACGGCTGGGTCGGCCCGGGCACAGGCGCGCACCGATCGGCCCCGATCGGGGCGGGTGCGGGGAGAAGGGGGGGGGGGGCGAAGACCGACCCCCTCCTCCTCCTCCTCACTCCTCCTCCTCCCCTCCTCCTCCTCCTCCTCCTCCTCCTCCTCCTCCTCCTCCTCCTCCTCCTCTCCTCCTCCTCCTCCCCCTCCCACCCTCCTCCTCCTCTCCTCCTCCTCCCCTCCTCACTTCCATCCTCCTCCCCCCTCCTCCTCCTCCTCCTCCTCCTCCTCCTCCTCCTCCTCCTCCTCCCTCGAGTCGTGACAAAACTACGACGGAACACCTTTCGCTATTTTTGGCTGCCGGGGGCCCTAACCGGGGCTCGGGGCCTTCGAAAGCGACTCCGCAGGAGGAGTTGGTCCCTGGGAATGGGTCGAGACCTCTGGGTATCGACGTGACGAAACAAACATGGCGTCGGGTGTCTGGGAACAGGGCTCGCTGCCGTTGTTGCCGCGGACGTGGTTCGGGGCCAGCGACGCTTGTCCAACGGCGGCCGCCGTTGATGTTTGACAACGTCTGCGGTTGTACATCGTCCACGCGTCCACGTGCTTGTCCGTCCCCACGTCCGTAGACACGCTTACGGCGATGCAGACAGCGGCGATGTAGGCTTCGGCACTGTAGGTGGGGGTGGTTCGTGGCCGACCCGATTGTAGGAAAGCGTGGTTCGCGGCTTCCTGTAACTATTCTCCGTGCCGTCTCTGCTCGATACCTCCACGTGTTTGAGTTGCAGGGAGGAGGAGGAGGAGGAGGAGGAGGAGGAGGAGGAGGAGGAGGCGGAGGAGGAGGAGGAGGAGGAGGAGGAGGAGGACGAGGAGGAGGAGCGTGTGGCTCGTGATGTCCTGCACGTCGCTCTGCGCGAGAGCGGCGCCACGGAGACCAGCCTCCCGGCACCGCCGTCCTCCGGCACCTGCCGGGCACCGCTCCGAGAACGCGTCCGCTCCTCCTCGGCGAGGGCCTTCGAGAGGCGCACCCTCGACCCCTGCGGCCCCCCAAAGGAGCGCGCACGGCACCGGCAAACCGCACGACGACGAGGACGACGACGACGGACGACGACGACGGACGACGACGACGACGACGACGACGACGACGACGACGACGACGACGACGACGACGACGACGACGACGACGACGAGGACGACGACAATGGACGACGACGGCGACGACGACGACGACGGCGACGACGACAGCGGCCGTGCACCGGCATCGCCGCTGGCGCGAGGGCCTCGGCGCGCCGGCCGCCGCCCAGCCGAGGCGTGCAGCCAGCTCGACGCCTCCTCGGCGCACAGCACGCCGAGGGGGCCGCCGCCGCCGCCGAGGGGAGGCGACGCCGCCTCGGCGCACGGCACGCCGAGGGGGCCGCCGCCGCCGGGGAGGGGCCGGGCCGCCGCGGCGCACGGCACGCCGGCGCAGACGCCGCCGAGGAGGGGCGGCGCCGCCTCGGCGCACAGCACGCCGAGGGGGCCGCCGCCGCCGAGGGGGGGCGCCGCCGACGCCGAGGCGAGGCTCCGCCCCGCCAGCTGGCTCCTCGAGCCTCCGGAGGAGGCGGCAGCCGAGGAGCCCCGGCACCCCCCCTCCCCCCGCGCGAAAGGTGGCCCCTCGACCTATCCTCGCCCCGAGGAGCCCCCCCCCCCCGCGCGAAAGGTGGCCCCTCGACCTATCCTGGAGCGCGGCGTGGCCGGCCAG